ATTTTTCGGTGAACGGCACAAAGTCTTTAAGTCTGAAAGCACATGTTGCACTCTTTTTCCCTTAGACTGATTTTGTCCCAAAGGGGTTTTTTGGTAAGGTTTTTATCGAGGCAACAATGAATCTCAAGATTTTGGATGATGGGATATGCATTGTAAGGGCCTTTGCAACAATATCCGAGGTTCCTTTGCAATCAACCTCGAATACTGGGGGGGCTACCTTTGGGATATGCATTGTCTTCGAATATCAACTCTAGCAAGGAAACTACTTCATAAAGGGATTCATAAAGAGAGGGTCTCGATAGGAAGGATTTATTATAAGAGCCAAATGGTCAAAACGAACCGTGCCCATGTAGATTGCTCTAGCCCCGGCATAAAACATGTACGCAAGTATGATTATTTCAAACGAGAATAAATAGAAGTACTTTCCTTGCAATCATTTTATGTTTTAAAATTTTTTCCTCTTTACATCCCCTTAAAGAGCTTCGTACTTTCGAAAATAACAAGCCTAAGATCAATACATAACCAAAATGAGAACGACCACCCCCTCACTCGGGGACTGCCGTCCAACTCAAACAACCCAAGTCATCGAGCCTCGGGGATAAAAGACCTATTGCAACTCCCCGGTTTCTAAAGTCCACGGCCACCCCACTCGGGGACTCTATATCGAGCAAGCTTGGATGACTCGAGAAAATAAGCCCAATGGGCAGTTCCCGAACTAAAATTCTATGACCAATTTAACAGGCTCGAAGATGTCCGAAACCCGTAACAAAAAATAAGCCTTCGAAAAAGAAAAAAAATTTCACAATCAATTTTAAAGACTGCCCTAGGCAAAATCATAAACTTAAGATATTTTCGGGGAAAACATCTTCGGTAACATCGAACCCCAACAACGCCTTAACCCAGAAAGGAAATAAAATTAAGATTTGTTCGAACCTTTGAACACAACCTCATTGTTTCACGCTAAGGCATTTCGACCTTTGTGAATACAAGTAATAAAGTAGTGGAAATATTTGAGATCCGGAAGGGGAAGAAAAGCCTTATATATATATATATATAATAATCTTTACAAAGGCCAGATTGGCCTAACATAAAGAAAAGATGCAAAACAAAGAAAAACTATGAAGGCCTAAGTGGCCTGGTCTTCATCGGGGGTAACATCTCCATCCTCAGAATCTTCCCCATCTTTGGACTCGCTTAAGCCGTTAGAGTCTTCCTCAGGAAAGGCAAGCTTCCGGGCCCTACTTTCCTCTACTTTGGCATTCTCGATTTCGGCCATAACAACCAAGCCCTGAGCATGAACTCCCTCGAGGACTTCCCTTCGAGCTTGCCATTTTGCATGATCCACCATGCTCTTAGCCTTCGCCTGGATGGCCTCGATATCGACCTTAAATTGGTCCACTTTGACATCAACTTTGATGTTGTCCACGGCCACCTCAGATCTGGCCACTTCGAGTTTGCTAGCCAAGTTTTCCTTATCAGAAACAGCCAAGTCCAATCGAGATTGAAGCACCTTGATTTTCTCGACCTGCACCGAGGCCTTCCCTTTTGCAGCTTGGAGCTGGGTCCCGGCCAACTCCAGTTGTGCTTAGACGGCTTCCTTTTTCGAGTCTAAAATATCCATTTTTTTATTGAACTCTTCAGCCTCGACTTGTATTGTATCTACTTGTTTTTTAAGCTCCCCGATCTGTTCGATCCTCTGACGGACCTGCAGGATCTGATCATTATTTACTATCTCCGATTCATCTTCACTATCGTGAAGCACTCGGAATACCTGCTCGGCCATCTCGGCATGCTCGTCCCGAGCCGTTACTAAATCGGCCTGAAGCTTCTCACTGAGAAGCTTGTAGGTGTTACTTTTCTCAGTGAGGTCCCGCACCTCGGCTTTATGATGAGTTAAATCCTACCGATATCGGAGGAAAGCCTCGTGATGCAGCACCGAAGCATAAAAGCATAAGAGAAGATGTTATGGTTATTTACAACTTTAAAAGTTAGAATATATGAGAAAAAAAGGCACGCCAATTTAACTGATTTAAAGCTTGTCATGCTTTATTGAATAGATTAGTGGCTCCCGACAACGATTCCTTCCTTGATACCGGTAGGTCACCAAGCCCGGTGACGTCTTCCAAAGCAGCAAAATCAACCCCATTCAAGAAGTCGTGGATATCGGTCACTCCCTGAGGACTTAACATACTGGCCTCACGGATCTTGGCATCCGAAATTTGAAGAGACCCGCTGAGGTCGACATCTCCATGTTCATCTATTGGGGAACTTTCCCCGACCCCTCTAGCTTGGGACGGAATGGTCTTGACCTTTCTGGCTCGGAAGCTTCAACTAGAGCTCTCTCACCGACCTAGTCATGTCGGTATGCTTCAACTTCAGCGTTTGCCGGTTCGAGAACTTCTTGTACGATGACGTCGGCCCGCACACGGGCCACCAATTTTGAATTATATTCCTTTTCTTCTTTGAAATCCTCCCTTAATCGACGGATTGAATCCGAAGACATAGCACCGGTGTCCCCCCGGGCTTGCGAGACCTCCTCACCAGTCTTTTCTTTTCCGAGCCCGGGGAACTCGAAGCCCTTTTCCTCTTCTTCTCTTTGTCCTGCTTCGGAGCAGTGGTTGGGTAAAGACTTCTTCGTCATAAGATGGGGCCTCATTGCAACATCCTTTCCGAGGCCTACAAAGGAAAAAGATGAGTAAGCTCGAGAAAAAGCCCGAACGATTACCGTTCTAAGAAGGAAACTTACCATGATTGCGGTCCTCCCACCGACCATTCGACAACTCCATCCAAGCACGCTCTGAGTACGGCCTCTGTAACACAAGGCTTCGACCCATTTTTTAAGTTCCGGAATTGGGTCCGACATCTGGGCCACATCTGTGACGCCAAAAAATATCAATGAAGAAATAAATAAGAAAAGCAATAAGATTAAACCTTCAAAGCGAAGTACTACTTACATTTCATATTCCATTTCTCGGGAAATGGCATGTCTTCAGCAGGGATCAAGTTCGAAGTCCTTACTCGAACAAATCGACCCATCCAACCTCGGTCCCGACCTTCATCTATGCTCGATAACGGAGCCTTACTGGTTCGACGAGCAAGCTTGATCAGCCCCCCCTCGATAGAGTCGGGGACTATAGAGGAGCATAAGGTAGTCGAGGGTAAAGGGACATCCCTCAATTTTGCTTATACAAAATTGGAGGAAAATCACTATTATCCAGAAGGAGGGGTGGATCTGGCCAAGGATCACATCATACCTCTTGCAAAAGGCAATGATGATGGGGTCTAAGGGACCCAACGTAAAAGGGTAAGTGTAAACACTTAGAAATACCTCACGTGGGTAGTGATCGATTCCTCGGGCGAAGGAACCACCACATGCTTATTGACACAGTTGCAACCCTATTTAACCCTAGCAAGGGGTTTTTCAGTGATTGTGCATATTTACCTCGAGACCGGCTCACATCGGCCCGTTACCAAGGAGGCCTTTTTGACCCTAAAATTAGTAACAGTCAGGAACCCTGCCAGAACTAATTCCTCAGGGTGGGGTTCCGCCGCAGCCTCACCGCCGGCGGGCCGTGATGAAGAAGCAGCCTCCTTTTACGGTCTGGTCTTAGAAGTTTTCGCCATTGAATAACATGAGAAAAGAGAATTAATATAGTATGCGGATTGATGAGAATTCAAGAAATTTGGGTGAAAAAGTTGTAAAGCAAAGGGATTTTTGAAAAAAAGCAAGAGTAGGAAGAGCTTTGAACGTAAAAAGTTTGCATGAGAAAAAGCTAGGGTACTTATAGCTTGCTGGTGACGATTCAGAACCGGTAGTGGGCGACCAGCGACTGACAGTCATTTAATACCTTGATAACTGGACCGACGGGACATTTCGAGTTGTTTCTTACGTCATGATCGGGTGTACCAGTGACGTTCGTCGTTTACGTCATTACCCATCGAGACGGAGCTCGGAAATTCATATCATTTCTCGTGATCTTCTCTCCGAGAAACGAGGGGACAATCTGTATAAGGTTCAAACTCGTGTTATATCGAACCATGGTGTGAAGTTAGATTGCCGAGCTCGTGACCCAGAGATCGATTAAGATCGAGTTCGGCCAAGATCTAGACTAGCCAAGATCGAGACCGAGCAAGATCGAGACCGAGCAAGATGGAGATTGAACGAGACCAAGGGATGCTTACCAAGCCAAATAACGGAAAGCCTAAATGTCCACAATCAGGCGAGGATCGCGGTGGAAATCCTGGAACGTATCAAGGAGAGGCCGATTAATTAGCCTATCATGGAATTCCTAAATACAATCAAGAGTAAGACTCCCCTACTATATAAAAGGGGTCTGATCATTTGTAAGGAACATCATATTTACGCAATACAAAGCAATCACTACAAAAAAAACAACGTTTAGCAACGGATTTTAGCGACAAGCCATATTCCGTAGCTAAATAACGACAAATTAGCGACGAATTTTATTTTTTATCGCCAAATAAGCTACAAAAGATTTAGTACCAAATATAGCGATGGATTAGCGATAAAATTTTACATCCGTCGCTAAAAATTGGCGGCTTTATTTACCTACAAAATTAACGACAAAAGTGGGGTAACAAAAATTATTAAAATATAGCGACGGATTTAACNGAAAGTACCTCATCTAATTTGAAACAGAGGTAGTAAAATATAGCGATGGATTTAATGACAGAAACTTTGTCGCTGCGTTTATTTTACTTATCAAAACATTCCAAAATTTAATTGCGAAGGAAATTCCGTCGTTCGATTCTTAAAAATAATTTTGCCCAAGTTTTTATTAGCGACAAAAGTATTTCAGTCGCTATACCTTTTTAAAATTAAAGTTTATCTATGGCACAAATCTGCTTACCGACTCACATTCTCTCTCTCTATCAAACTCGCCGACTTTCTCTCATCTTCAACAATATGAGATTCTTGCANCTCTCATCTTCAACAATGTGAGATTCTTTCTTCCAATACAACAAGTTGGGTGTGAACCTAAGGCTCATATACCATTGCCACACTTTCCCTTCTCTTCCACCATCGCCGGCCACCGTCTTGAGGTAATCCTAACTCATCTCTCTCTATCTCCACATTAATTTTTATATCTATATCTTTTTCTGCCACCATGGTGATTCTGGTTTCACCAACTTTTGTTGTTTTTGTTACTCCTATATATATTTCTTCACCTACTATCAATCTTATCCGAATATTTCTAAATAATTCGTTCAGTGATTTATTTTTTATATGTTTTTATTTTTATTTCGTTTATTTCTAATTACTTCTGTTGTTGAATATTTGATTTTTAGAATGATAGGCTTTGCCGTTGGGAATTATGCGGTGTGTGTTCTAGGGTTTAGATGCATGTATTTTGATATATATTATTGTGGTTGTTTCGTTACAGATTGGCATTGTTCAATCTATTGTTCGTGAGGCCTATTTCAATTTTCACTCCTTCTAAAAGTAAGCTAATAGTTAATCAAATTTTCCTCTTTTCTCTTTAGTTGCTTTTGGTTTTATTAAAGAATTTGCAGACGTTGAATACTTCCATAAGGTCAATTGAGTTTAATTGTTTGGTTTTGTTAAATTTATTGTTACATTTCAGTTAGACTAATTTTTCTCACCAACTTGTCTATAGGCCTGGAGTTATGTTTTGAGACATCATTTAGCCTTGAATATTTTACATCAAATTTTTAAAAATTTGAAAGGTTCAGTTTGTTGTTATTAAAGAGAATTGGTATACCTTTTTATAATTGGATGCCCCAATAATGCTGTTAAAATTGGTGTAGATGTTGTGAGTTATATGTATTGTATAAGAATTTTGGCAACATCAGAATGTATAAAAATTCTTTATCACATCTAGTTTTACTCGTTTTAGTTAATGATTTTATATTTGATTAGCTCCTCCTTGGTTGAAGAAAGCAAATTAGCTTATCCATTCGTGAGATTCTTTGTATATTATACTAGTAACTATTGTTAAAGAATTATTGTAACCTTAGAGTGTATGAAAAATTCTTGATCATATATTATTTTTACCATTTAAAATCAATGATGTTAGATTTTACTTGTCTCCTCATCTGTTAGAAGAAAGTAAATTAGCTTATCCATTTCCACAAGGCCTTTCCGAGTACTACAATAGTGATACTGTAAAAATAAATTCTTAACAAATTAGCTTTATTTTCTTGAGACACTCTATGGACTAGAGTTGTCAAATTATTAAGGATCTTTGTCAGCTATAGTTATGATATTATAAATGTATTGCTCTTTTTTATCCCTTCCTGATATGTTTTATGTCACCGCAAGATGGATGCTAACATTCCTGACATTCCTAACACTGGAAAAGATAGATTCGGATTTGCAAAGGTGAACATTTATCTTGTTTAATATAAGTTTTATGAGATCTTTGTTGTTTTGGGCAATTTTTTTTAATTGATGTTACTCAGTTTCTGCACTAGATGCAGCATGATCTTAGTGTAATCCTATGTTGACATCTTTTAAATTGTTCAAATTTGTAAGGAGTACAATTAGTCGATCAGTACTTTTGTTCTTTGTATACCATAGTGAAAGCATTCACTTTACCTATAATTTATTTATTTCAATATTAAATAGGAACATGGATAATCTAGAGCGTGATTGTAGCCATAAACTACTTAGAATAATATCTACCAGATTGACTTTGCATTGAAAGAAAGTGATTGAACCTGCTGTTTGTTAATAAATTTTAGATGAATAATACAGTTAGATATGCATTGTATCATGTCCTTATTTATTTTTTATATATTTTGTAGATATGCCTCGAGGTATATATGGTATACCTTGAAATACTGTCTTCTAATTTGTTCAGGTTAGAACCTTCAAGAGAATGCTCTGAGTGTATAACTAATTCTTTCAAGCATAAACATGATCCTTATGGAATCAACTGGAAAAGCGTCTCGTATGAGATAAAAATATTTTAATTTGGAGAATTCAAGGTATAATCCATCACAATTGAATTTAGAAAGTATATTAACTTTTATATATAATTTATTAATGTTATTACTTTACAAAATTATTTTAGAAGGTATTCTACTGGGATTCTTCAATTGATACTGCTATGTGGAACCAATGGGGGCATAGGGTAGCAAAAAGATACAGTGATTTCATTAGCAAACTAAAAAACAAATGAGGTGCAACGGAAATCTATTCCAAATGATGTGTGGCAAAGTTGGATGAGACTTTAGAAAGATCCTAATTGTGTTGAAAAGTCAGAAATAAATACAAAAAATTATTATGGTGGTGGGAGCAGAGTTGCCACTGGACTCACACGGGTGTGTCTATTAGTGTTGGGGAGCATCGCAAGAGACCTGTAAGTGTATATAAAATATCTGAAAATCTCATTTAAGTTTGCACTAATTCGAATTTGAAAATCTTATTTAAGTTCGGTAAGTTGTGAGTTTCGGATTGTCTCTTGTTCTGTTTTTAATATTCTGTGCTTGAAATTATTGTGAGAATTTCTTTTCGAAAAATCTAGGTTGTCAATGTGGGCCGAAATTGAAGTTAGCAGTTGGATAAACTGTTTAATATTGATATTTCTTACTTTGTCACCTTTTCACTGTTACATAAACTGTTTAATATTAATATCTAATAAAAGCTTAGTTATTCTACATTTCCTGAAACTGAGCTGTAATTAAGTTAGATAGAGTAGTGAAGACTCACCTAAGAATTCATGACATAAGAATCAACAGCAGCATAAAGTGCAGCGACACGAGTGGTTGCTGGAGTCCATAGTACCGTGTTTGACAAGTTAGAATGTTGATTAGAAAGTTGAAAGAAAAAAGTTCTTATGTCTTTTAAGTTGTCCTAAGCTAGTAGAAAAAAAAGTTCTTATGTCTTTTAAGAAAAAAGTTCTTATGCATTTTACGTTGTCTTGCTCTAAATACCTTGCCCACATTGGAGTTGATTTCAGAGGTGGGAGTTGAGATTGAGAGCTTCAAAACTGTCACGACCCAAAATTTCCCACCGTCGGGACCGTGATGACGCCTAACATTTCACTTGCAAGGCAACCCAAATTCTTATTTTCATTTAGTAAATAACAATAATTAGATAAGATGAAATATAGTAAGTGCGGAATAATATAAAGACTGTATCAATTACTACCACCCGGATCTGGAGTCACAATTCACGAGCATTCTTGAATTTACTACAAGTAATAGTCTGAAAGAAATACAATTGTTTAAATGAAAGAAACAATAGAACAGAAAAGATAGATGGGGACTTCAAGGTCTGTGAACGCCGACAAATATACCTTGAGTCTCCGGATAGCGGTATGATAGCAAAATCTCGATCAACCCGAGCCGATACAAAAATCTGCACAGAAAGTGCAGAGTGCAGTATCAGTACAACTGACTCCATGTACTGGTTTTGTAACAATCCCCTCCCGGATCACAGAGGTAAGGGAGTGAATGTGATAGAGACCGACGAGGAATGGGATCTGGAGGGGCAATCAGACTCATTCGGGAGTGGGATGATCCTAAAACGTCTCCGGTCACCCTCACACCCACTGTGGTACAAACTAGAGCACCATTTGAAGTCGAGGTAACTAGACCCTTCACTATCATGGGAGCCCCCATGCCATCTTACAAGTCAGATGTTATCCCATGGGATTATGTTGCGGAAGCAAGGAGAAAAGGAAAAGCAAAAATGGAGGAAACAGGTGCGGCGCAAGGCATGACTAGAACTGGCAGCGTCTATACACCTGAGCACCTGGGAGGAACAAGAAAAGAAGCTGCATCTAAGCCGCCTGTTGTTGAGACTGGCCCTGATGACCTTTGGAGAAAGGTACAAGTAAGGGAATACTCTGTTGTCGATCATCTGAACAAAACACCCGCTCAGATATCCGTCTTGTCACTGCTGCAAAACTTTGAGACACAAAAGAATGCCTTGATGAAAGTGCTGAGTGAATCTTATGTACCCACCAACATCACTAGTGGGGAGATGGCCAACATGGTCGGGCAGGTACTGGAAAGCCACAAAATCACCTTTCACGAGGATGAATTACCACCAGAAGGACTAAGTCATAACAGGGCACTACACATCATAGTGCAATTGAGGATAAGTTCATCGCCAGGGTCCTGATATATGGGGGTTCAAGTCTCAATATATGCCCACTGACTACTCTAAAGAGGTTGGGTAAAGGCCTGCACGAGATACGGATGGGAAGTATGAATGTAAAGGCATTTGATGGATCCCAAAGAGCCACAATTGGAGAAATCAACCTCAACCTACAAATGGGCCCGACCTAGTTTGATGTTGAGTTCCAAGTGCTGGATATATCTGCTACCTATAATCTATTATTGGGATGACCCTGGATACACGCCGCTAGGGCAGTGGCTTCTACTCTACATCAGGCTGTGATGTTTGAATGGATTCATCAAGAAGTGATTATCCATGGGGATGGAAGCAACCCCATATATACCAATCATACCGTTCCAATCATCGAGAATAGGAAGAAGCTGGGTGGAGAAACGTACCATCGCGTTGAGCGAGTCAACACAATTGAAAAGGATCGATGGTGGAGTAACAAGATAGAAAGCATATTACTATGGACAGGATATGAACCTGGCAAGGGTCTGGGCAAAAACCTTTAAGGGATCACCAAACCCATACAACCGCAGCGTCATGGCACAACCTTTGGGCTCAGATATGAATATACTTGGCAAGAGTACCAAAATTGGTCGCTGCCATGGCGTGGCCCTTATTATCCGCTGGAACAACCAGTACCACCTCTGCACCAGACATTGCATCGAGCTGACATGATGTGGGGATCTGAGGAAGATGAAGTCTTAGCTGGCATGAGGAAATTGTTTCTGGATGAAAAAAGATATGGATTGCAGTGCGATAGTTGAGGAGGAAGAGGAGGAAGACCTTACCATTCAGACCGTTGGGAAAGGAGCTTTTCTCAAAAACTGGACTGCTGCACCATCCTGGGCCCGTCGAGTTCCTGGGTAGCTTGGCAGATTATGATCAATTATTTTTAAGCATTTGAGACATTTTCAATATTTTTTTTTGAAATAATTGCTCGAGTCATCGAGCCGCATTTGCTAACATTTTAAAGATTTCAATTAATGCATTGCTACTTTTCGTATTTACTATTATTATTTACATTTTCTCTTTTTACGGCATTATTATTACCTATCCCAAAGAATCTATGACTGTGACATGTAATGAAACAACGTAACATAAGGATAGTGATTCAGAGGACCTGGAAGATGATACGATACGTGAGGAAATTGTCAGAGAAGTGGAAAATTTTAAAAACAAGCCAAAGTCCAATTTGGACGAAACTGAAGCAGTTAACTTTGGGGGTTCCGAACTGGTCAAGGAAACACGCATAAGCATCCATCTATCACCGTCAGAAAAGAAGAGTACATCAGATTCCTAAAAGAATATGAAGATATCTTTGCATGGTCCTACGACGATATGGTGGGTTTGAGCACATCCATAGTAGCTCACAAGTTACCCACTAATCCTACATGTCCACCGGTAAAGCAGAAGCTCAGAAAATTCAAGCCGAATATGAGTTTGAAGATAAAAAAGGAGGTCACCAAGCAGATCAAAGCCAAGGTTCTTATAGTGGTCGAGTACCCGACTTGGTTGGCCAACATTGTGCCAGTTCCGAAGAAAGATGGGAAAGTCAAAGTATGTGTTGACTTCCGAGATCTAAACAGAGCAAGTCCCAAAGATGATTTTTCGTTGCCTAATATACACATATTGATCGACAATTATTCCAAACATGAACTCCAATCCTTTGTGGATTGCTTCGCGGGGTGCCATCAGATCTGGATGGATGAGGAGGATGCTGAAAAGATAGCCTTCATCACGCCATAGGGAATATATTGTTATAAAATTATGCCATTTGGTCTGAAGAATGCCGGAGCCACCTACATGAGAGCCATGAAAACTATTTTCCATGACATGATACATAAAGAGATAGAAGTGTACGTGGATGATGTTATCATCAAATCCAAAAGGAGTACGGATCACATAGCAGATCTAAGGAAATTCTTCGATCGGCTTCGAAGGTATAATCTGAAACGGAATCCTGCAAAGTGTGCTTTCAGAGTCCCTGCTGGAAAATTGTTAGGATTCATCGTCAATCGCAGAGGGATTGAGTTAGACCCATCAAAAGTCAAAGCAATCCAAGATTTGCCACCTCCGAAGAATAAGAAAGATGTGATAAGCTTTTTAGGGCATCTTAATTACATCAGTCGCTTCATAGCACAATCAACAGTGATATGTAAGCCGATCTTCAAAATGCTGAGGAAAGATGCTGCAACATGTTGGACTGAAGAATGCCAAAAAGCCTTCGACAAAATCAAGGAGTATTT